AGGTAAGTCTACAAAAATAAGGTGGTGAGGCGCAACCGCTGAACGTTTGCCGATTTTTGTTTCGTGAGAAACCGGCTCCAAGCCAAACGAACACACACGAAGCCAAAAGCAGGTCAGAAGTACGTAGATTAGACAAATGTGTGTACTACCCATCATTCCCATGGTTGCTCAAGCGCCGTGCGTTGCAGCTCTCATAGACACCAGCGCCAGAGTTCCCTCTGGTGTATATTAGGAAACTCTATGGAGTGAACTTCTCAGTGCAATATGCTATATGTTACCATTTATCGCTATATGTATGACTTTGTTTCTACCCCAGTGTAATGCATCCGTGTCTGAAGCCTGCTTATCCATTTAGTGTGCAGTCATGTTATAGTAGTATAGTATAGTAGCGGTAATAGCAGAAGAATTATTAATATCGCAAAAATTACAAATGTTACTCGGCTGTGTTTTCTTTGGCGGGAGAGGTCAATGTCCAGCAGAAAATCCGACGTGCTTTCAGCTGGTCCTGTATCGTGTAGAGCTTAATACGGAACGATCACATGTGCTTGCGCAAACTAAATCTCCCATTTTCGCGGCAGGCTCGTTGCTCGAGCTTTTTCGTTCGTTTCGGCTGCATATCGGTCCGATTGGTTCTCGGCTTCGCAGTCGCTGAACGATCGTTAGTGGCTGGGATTGAATCCGCGCTGTGCGAAGGATGGCCTAGGCGACAGCGCCAGTACCACCGACGACGCTTGATGTAGGAACGCATAGCAGCGCTCTTCAGCAGCGCAGTAGCGTGCATTAGAAGTATAGCGAAAAAAATAATAAAAAAACCAAACTATGGGCATAGAAGAACTACAGTTGCCGCCTGTCCTCGCGTGTCCACTGATTGGATTAGATCTGCGTTCGGAGCTCGGTCGAGCTCCCGCCGCCATGCGACGTCGTCGTCGTTCGCTCTATTGGGGCAAGATACGAGCGCGCCACCTAATCTCCGCGCTCCTTGGGTGCGCTCGATAATCGCATCAAGCAACCCGGGCGCTCCTAACTGTTTGCCCATTACCGCCCTGGTGTTCCCAGCGGACGCCTTGCTTTGGCCGGCCTCTGTCACGTCGGGCCACGCGGTGCGAGGACCACTTTAGTTAGTTTGGGGGGACTGTGCCTCGGTAGGTGAACGAGCCCTACCCATACACACACTGTGCTCACAGAACTTTTCGCTTGGACGAAGCTACTTGTGAAATTTGTGGCTCGAGGATCCAGCATCAGGCCAGTGCCCTTTCACGAGTGGGTATAGCATGCCAGATTACATGTGCTCTTCACGCCCTGAGCGCCTAACAAAGCGAAGCGCCAAGAAAAGGGTTATTGAAAACATCGAATGAGTGCAAGTTGTGGGCTGAGCTGATGAAGTGGAACCCCATAGTGTATTGAAGTAGCTGCGAAGTCTGGCATATTTCAAGCTTGGCGATGCAAAGCATTTTCTTGGAATTGTTGATACGCACGTATAAATAATTCAGAAGTTATTGGCAATTAAGAATGAAGTCCACAGAGCACAGATTACAAGAATGCTGCTGTGAAGTCCGTGAAGTGTTCTTTGCACCTGATTTTAACGCCTTTATTGTGTTCCTTAATCTTTCCGGCCATTCTCAAGAACACGAAGAAAAATGGCTCTGAACTGTGACACAAATAGCTGTGAAATCGAACGACAATTTTGAGGCATTATCAATGAAACTGTGACAGCGTATGTAAGCGAGAACGAAGCGACGGAAAATGAAAATGATAATGGCATGAAAGCTTTCCATATTTTTCTGGTTAACTGTTCGCTTGGTAACTATTGTAGTTATGCGCGCTCGTTTCAAGAGGCTAAAGGGTTTATTTAGAAATGTAAGATTATGCTTATAGTTTATGCATCGTGTGGAGAAACTGGTGACCTTCATGGTCTGGATATAGGACACCAAGGCTCATAATTACCTGAGCTCTAAATGCATCGCATGATGATGCGGTGCCACGCGAAAATTGAATTTTTGAACCAGTCGCACCATTTCCATGGTAACGTCTGGCAGTTCTTTCCATGAATCAAACAGAAACGAACAAGCAAAAACAGCATTTTATTGCGTTTTATGTGGCATGGAAGGTTTTCTTTATTTAGTGCAGCTACATCGATTACTAGTGATTAATTGTAGGCGGCATGGGTATCATTCTGAGAATTTCCTACTGCGCCGCATGTGTTCTTGTGCATTTACCTTAATTTCTCGGTAAGTAGGGCACTGCTGTTGATAATATTCTCGTTTTAGATGTTGTCAGACATTAAGCTTTCACTCTCACGTAAATTGTTATCTGACTTTAGTGCCCCTTTAACGTGCATGCACTTACTCCGCACAGTACGAAGACCTCTCGCATTTCATCTCCGTCGAAATGCGACAGGCACGGCTGGTGTTGATACCGCGTCTTTCGAGTAAGCATCGGAGCTCCGTATACTCCCGAGGCGAGCGTGGCGTCCTACTTGAGACTAACCCCCGTATTCACAAACGATCCTCAACTCGACTTTCACCCTTCATTTGATAGAGTTCAGCACTGCGCCGCTGCTCGGCTGAAATTGACGCTGCGCTGCGCGAGAATCACAGCACACTATCAATGATATGCAGTGACTTGCCGTGCCTAGAGAGGGCGCTTCTATCGGCTTTCTCAAGTGAAGGTGAATCATTGAGTGAAGGGACGTTCTAGAATACGGGGGTAAGTTGTTGGAATACCGTACCGCAGTATCGCGTGCCGTCACCGGCAACACAGTGTGCGCGCATACAGTAGCTGAACCGCACGCCTGGCCAGGCAAATTGGCGGAAAGAACGCTTGGGCGCTCACAGCCTCCGCGGCGGCTGGATGCCGATGCGGCGCATTTCGAAACTTCGCACATGCACACGTGCCGACCACAAGCTATAGGTTCCGTTCACGCGTTCATAATGGGTGCCTTTTCCGTGCTTCGTAGCGCGCAGACAGCGAATGCCCCATAACAGGCTATATTTGTCAATTGCCCCGACATCATCACATCTTCTGCGTTCACGCCTTATCCAGAGTTTCGCACAAAGTTCTGGATTGAGTAATAATACAAGCTATAGGCACGTTATGGGAGCGCCGACGAGAAAAGCGGCTGCTTTGGCGCCAGGGGTTTGGTAATCATGCCCGTACACAAAAGCGTCAGATGCCACGCTCTCTTTTACGAGGCGGCTGTCTACTCGTATATATATAAATAGCTCGCGTCTGAAGCAACGAACATTAGAGCTTGTTCTCTTGCACCTTCGCTTTCCTGCCTATTTCATTCGCACAGTATTCCCGAACACGCTCCGCAGACAAAACCACCGCGCTCCGCGATATTAATTACTCTAAAGGGTGAGTTATGATTACGAATATTCGTGCCGCTGCCTGGGTTGTGATGAGAGTGGTGTTGGTTCTGTGGTTGGGGTGTACGTACGGCGGTTGAAAGATTAAGAGAGGAATGCGATGGCGTAGGTTGGAAGAGTTTTCCGGTATGCGCAGTGGGCTGCGCCCGCGTGTATAGAAACAAGGCAGCGTGCAGTAGGGCCCATCTGGGACGACGTTTCGCAAGCCGCGGGCTCTATACCAAACCGTGTTTTATGACACGGAGCTTTCGGTGGGCGTGTTTACTTCTTTACATCTTTACCGCTTGTTTGATTGTTGTTCGCTCGCTTTCCATACAGGGCTCACGCTTCGTACGACGTACGCAGGGTCGGGTCGATAATTATCGCATTATTGGGCGCTATTTTTGCGCTCAATCGACCCTTCAATTATTCTGGAAGAAACGCCCGAGTCACGGCCCGATACAAAATATATCATCTATCTGTCGTCCCTGCGCATTACAACTTGTTGGTTTACGAACAACGCCGTTTTTTTTTCTGCACTAAATTTTCGCATAATTAAAGGCCTGAAACAACGATAAGTGTTGTGCGCTAGTCAGTTTGGTTAAGCTCCCTGTTCTTCATTTTCTCCTCTTCCTTCTTCTGGCCTGTCTGCAGTTGAAAATGAGCATTCGTCCTCTGCCGTTTTTCGCTGCTGATATTTTCATCTCGCTTGGGAAACTGTATCAGCTTTCAGTCATTGAAATGAAAAAGTAGCAAAGATATAGAAGAAGAGGGAAGGAGGCCATAAGTTTCTGTTTTTTCTTTTGAAGCTGCGGGTTCAAGCTACGCTCCAGATAATGTTCAAGATCACAACGGCTATATGAAAGTCTCGTCGATACAGTTATTGATTATGGGGCCGTGTCGCCGTCGACGATATAAACACGATATAGGTCATATGGAAGCTAACCGGTCGCGGGGGTTTACTAGTTATTTGGCCAGACTGCTGGCCGGAAGGTCGCGAAATTGAATCCCGGCTGCGATGGCCGTAGATGCTGGAGCTCCGTGTGTTCATAACATTTGGGTGCACGCTAAAAACGCCGGGTGGCCGAAATTTTCGGATGTTGTGAGCGATGTTCGAGTTTGCTCTATTCATGAGCGAGTGGTGTATGAATTCAATGCATATACCTACTACGTGTTCGTAAACAGCGCTAGGTGCCGTCGACGTACTGGGGCACTCGTAGCGACATCGGTGTGCATAGGCTCCGCCCAGTCCAAAGCTCGCCACCGGCCTGGATGACCTCCGAGCGCAGCGCGTTGGGGAGCCTCCCGTGCGTTCACGCAGGCGCTGGTTGACGCGGTAGGCTCCTCGACGCGCTGTGTTTAGGTGGCCGCTTTGCGGCTGCTGCGGCAGTGTTCACGGGATCATAGGGGGCTGTGGCGACCTGTGGGCTGGGCGGAGCCTGCGCGCCGTGACGTTGCTCAAGCGCTCCAGTTTGTCGACGGCGTCTTCCGCTGTTTACAAACACGGCATAGGTCTGTCTCGCAGCACCGCATATGCACGCGCAAAGCCCACGGCAGCGCTCGAGCCTACTTTATTTATCAAATTAATTGCAGTAATGAATGACTGACGAATATGTAAATGTCATCCTAATGAAGCCTCTATTTACTGCGCAGAGATCGTGTGAGACGTCTTTCGCAATCATGGATGGGCTGGTACGCCATCTTTAGGACAGCCTGCAGGTAAGTGCTCACTGGCTCAGTTTCACGCAGCAGCTCCTCGTTATGGGGCGTATTGTAGCTTTGCACGCAAGAAACGACGAGCATGTCTGCGTGTCTCTTCGAGATAGTTGGTTAAATGTATCAAAAGGTGTCATAACAATGGGACGAGCGCTAACTTTCAAATGGAAGTTTATTATCAGAAGGAGCAGTCTAAGAGTATCCGTGCATAGAAAAGGCTCACTGCAAATAACTAAGTTAATTCGTCTTTTTAGACGCGACTGGTTTTGATGTGCCGAGATTGTGCCTTTTGCTTGTACGGATCTGCTTGTACTGTAACTTCCTTCTGACAAGAAAATTCAACTGAAAGTTAGCGCTGGTCCCGTTGTGTCGTCCTCGTCCGTTTCGGCTGGTGGTATGACACGTTTTGATGCACTGAACAAAAAAGTAGCCGGCACTGAGGCGTTACTTCCTTGTAATAGTCCCCAAAGAAAAAAGGCTACGTGAGTAACAACAGCGCCGAGCTCTCAGACCCATCACGACCAATAAAGTGCACCATGAAACGCTACGCGGAGTTCAAGCCCGGAAGCACGATCGTTTCCTCCCGCCTGCGAGACGAACTCTTGACCCGCAGTTAAAAACGATGGGGGGGGGGGGGGGGGGGCTGAGGCTGCAGCGCAGACCACTGTTCTTCCCAAGCTTGCCCAAATGCAGGCGCACGCGTGTAAGCCAAATCAAAAGCAAAGGAGGGAGAGCCTTCATTGTCTGCCCGGCTCGTTCATTATCGCCCGAGCGCCGTTATTCGGGGGCGCCGGAGACGGGGCGAGACGCTGAGGCCCTGTGCCGCGCCTCCTAGCGGGGGGATGACGAACGTGAGGGGGGTAGTGAGGCCCGGGAGGAAAACCCGAGTCAATCCATCAGGCAAACAAAACACTTACCGCAAACAATGCCTCTTTGTCGGCGGCGGACCTCTCTTCTGTTCCTCCGCCGCGTCGTTGTCGCAGGGGAAAGACTCCGCGCGGATGGAGAGGGTTAAGCGCCGCCGACGAATTAATGACGCCCAGCATTGCGATGCCCTCCGGGGGTATGCGACGTGCTCGCGGCGGGGACGTGTCCTCGCTTCGTCTTCTTCGGGGCCGTGATTCAAATTGGAAAGAGCCGTATCGGCCGCTTCGCCTCGCTCCATCGTACACGCGCGCCCCGGTTTCTGTTCGCTCGAGAAAAGAAAAAAGCTTCCCTTTCGTGTGTGTCTGTGTGCTTTGTGCACCCTCTACCATTTCCTCTTGTTTTCTTTGTTACTCTACGCTCACAGATTACAATTTCAGCCGGCTCCCAGCGCCGATAGGCGCCTGCTATCGTTCCTCCAGCTTCACGGACGTTTGGCTTCGTCCTTCGATTCGCCCGTGCATTCCCATCGCGTGCAATCGTGAGCGCTCTCCCCGTTTTGTTTTAAGCGGCGCGCGCACGTATTCCCGCGCAAACCATTGTTAGCCATCACTATAGTATGTTCGGTAATGAGTTGCGGTCGTGCCGCATGCGAATGTGCGGCTCGATGCAAAGAGCGCTCGTGCAGAATAAAGGCAGCGCTCTGACGAGTCGTGGTCGGAGCCGACCGGCCCGACCGCAGTACACAGCGAAGAAGCTTATCAGTTGACAAGCGACGTTCGATTCGGTCTGTGCCATTCGTCAGCCTAATTCGCCGCCGCGAAGCTTTTGTACGAGCCCTCGACGCAGAGTGGCGCATGGGCGCGTGTTTGTGCGTCCCTGCAGCGAGATTCGTTGTACGCGTGTGGTCGGCGGCTTTGGAAGTTTTAATGGCGCTAAGCCAGTTGCGTGCTTCATCTCCTCTCGTCCCTTCGCAGCCGTGGCACGGTTAGATTGGTCGTGCTGGTTAACGCACGTAGTCCAACGTGTGTCTTACTGTCGGCACGAACGTGGCGCCAAAGGAGATTGGCAAAGGAGATTGGTTGGTTGGATGAAATGCGAATGTTTGGGCGGCCCCGCTGCTAATTCGCGTTACCTTCTTTGTATATAGTACGTCCATTAGTGTGGCCATCTATAGCACTGATATGCGTTGCAAGTCGCATGCTACATTCGAAACGACATCATAGCAAATAACGACACGATACAAAAAAAGAGAAGACCGGTGAATCAGGACATCAGTTTTCAGTTTTATTGAGCATTTTCTTCACAGAGTTGCGAAAAGGAAAACGCAATGATAAGAGCAAAAAGCTATAGTCCTGTTCGCTATAGTCCTGTTCCATCTGTCTGGTCTTTGTTGTTTTCGCGCTGTTTTGTTCTTTTAACTGTGAATGTCCACCAACAAGCTCAAGCTCCACGCGCTTCTCGAAACAACACTTGCGCAGATATAGGCGCATGCGGTGTTATCATGACAATGTTGCATTATGTCAAGCTGTGTATATTAAATATAAGGCTTGCCATCGCGGAGCGGGAACTTCATGGACACAAGCGTTGACTGATTGACACAGTGATGCTATTGGAAATCTATTTCTGCCCGTTTTTTGTCATGTATATTGTGTTGCATAAAACTACAAGTTAGAATTGTTTAAACGGTTCTGGCGTCATGGCTACGTGGTAGTGTGTTTTTTCGATGAAGGACAAAACAGATAGTGGAATAAGCTATTTACGTAGACGCTGATGACGTTTCCAAGGTTCCACGGCGTTGTGGCGCACCTTTTGACCATCCGAACAAACGCAAAAACATTTTCTGTAGCATTTTGGTGTGAGACAGCAGTTTGTGCCCATGGTTGATCTATTCGGTAAACTTGGGGAGTAGATGTGTGTGCACAACTGGTGTTGCTCATTCAGTGCTATATAGCTCGCGGAATCGACTTTTTGTCAATGTAATGACAAATGTGCGTCTTATAAATCTGTTTTACGCGATTTCATGCAAGCAAGTTTTCTTCACTCATTCGACTCTATGACCAGCAGTTGGGCCACCTATATAAGGGCGGAAAATATAAACTAAATATCAAATATAGCCGAGGAAAGGTCCCTTATTTCATGGGTTCTTTTCGAGCAAGACGCGCTTTCCTCCGTGTTTCGCTTCAATGCAACGCGCCTCCAAAGCGTCAGAGCACATACTCTAAGGAGCGTCGAGTTGGCAGTTCCCGGGGAGAAGAGAAATGACATTAATAAAAATATAAGATCAAGGTTAGCAAGGCCGAAACTGCAGTTCCTTGACGTGGAAGGAGTAGCAGCATCTTGGGAGGCAGCGCTTTTGACGTGAAGACTTTCTTTTTTCTTCGTGAAGAAGAAGAGCAAAACGCAGGAGCGTGGGGAAAAACGCATCCCTGCGTTCGCAGCCATCCGTCACGCATGCAGCCGGCTTACCGAGTGTTATGGGCCACGCTTGCCTGTCGATCCAGTGCTTGCGCGCGCTGAAAACATGACGCTCCCGAATCTGCTTCGGCGCCGCCTCACGCAAGCAGCTTCCAGCGGCCAACAATGACGGCCGGGCATCACTCCTCGCCAATAACGAGACGACTCCGACGTCTCATCGCAACGGTCGTCGTCGTCGTCTCCGCTGCGCAGCCAGGGGACTCGGCGCAGCAGTGCGTGAAGCGTTCTCGCTCAGACCGGGCTCCGGCGTCGCATTTCTTGCCACCCTTCTCCTTCCTGGCCGGAGTTGCACTTCGAGTGGTGCCGTCTTCCTCGGTTCCCGTATTCCTTCATCCCTTCCGCCAGCCTTACTGTGCCTCTTCCACCCCGAAGAACCCACGTTCGCGCTCGGCCGATCCGAAAGGTCTAACTGCAGCGTAGTGTGCGCGCGGCGAAGCCAAAAGAAGGGGGAAAAAAAGTCAAGGTGAAAAAAAAAAAATGGGGGAGACGGCTGCAGGATGACGGATGTTTTTCCCGTTGGGTCCTGACGTTTATGAAATGCGAATCCTGACGTATTGGCCCCAATATCGCGCGCTTATGGATCCCGACGAGTTGGAGCGGCTCCTGCAGCGCCTCGGCCTTTCTTTCTCGCCCACCGCTGCTCGGGCCTTGCTTGCTTTCTCCTCTCCCCCCCCCTCCCTTTCATCCTCATCTTTTCGCAGTTGTTGTCTGCGTCCCTTATTTTTCGTGTTCGACTCACCAGCGCTCTTCTTGCCAACGCCACTCTTCGTTCGCCCTTCAGATATTTGATCATTATTATTTTTTTCGTCGTTTTACGGCTTCCACGGTGGGTCGTAACTGCTCTCTCTCTCTCTTTCATCATCACAACCCTTGCTCTGAAGCTGCAATAAAATGACTGAGTTCATCTGACAATTTCTCAGAGGGGCGAAATTTTATGGCCCTGTTATATATATGTTCATACGAGCGTCGGATAGATAGATAGATAGATAGATATAGATTTCGCCGAGCGCCCTCAGTCCGGCCCAGTAGCAGCCTTACAAGGGAGCGCGTTTCCGGTAAAGTGAAAGCTGGCTGTCGGAATGTCGTTGTTTCCGGCGCAGCCATTTATAACGGCCGGTTTTCTAAGCCCAGAGCGGTCTTATTAGGCGAATTTCTCCTTCTCGGCGGATTTATCAGTATTTGGTCACGCTCTTTTTCTCTCTTCAGAAATGTGCCCTCGCTTTTTTTTCCTTACAGCTTTCCCTTTTTTTTATTTATACCTCCAACCATCTTTCATATTTATGTCTCTGTGTGGGACCAAGTCACTGAAGTTCGAGAAAAGTGATGATCTTTGAAGCTTCTACTTGCAGTTAGCAGCTTCAACGTGGGCAGTTTCGACGGCTATATGTATAATGTTTAGACTTAGACAGTATGAATCAGCGTTATCAGTCTTAGGCAGCATTTTTGTTTCTCGAGGAACGGGATGAAAACATCAGTGATGATTCTAGATGCAGCCCAATATCGAACACATTTACGTTGTTTTCACCTTAGCTTAAGAATGACCCGCTTTGTTGGTGGCGCCGAGGACATGAAGGTGGAGTTCGTACTTTCATTTTCTAAGGGCACAGATAATAGTGCTCTTAATTAGTAAACCATTGACGCTGTCTTCCCTGTGTTGCGTA